GAAAATTAATCCAACTCTTGGTCATGAAATATTTTAAATACGTAGATATGAAATATATTTTTAAAAAAATTGAAAACATAAAAAAAGTAAAAAAAGTATAAATTTATTTTTAGTTCGACATCCTTAAAAGTTATGGCACTTCGACGCCCTATAGCTAACTTGCTCTATTTGATCCTTCACCCTTACCCGTTACTACGCAGAAATATCTTACATTTAACATATTCATAAATTATAATACGTCAAAGTCTCGATAAAAAACGGCGCGGTTACTTAGAATATTATATTATTATTTTTTATTGCATTTAAACTAACTATTTACGCGTTCGGAACAAGAATATATAGTTGCAGCTGTTATTCGCCAATGCGTTACAATATATCATACAGTATAGGCACCAACTAGTAGCGTTGACGTGTTAGGTTGTATATAATAACATACGATAATATGCAGTTAGTAGGCCATTTTAAGCACACGTGCTTAATATTATTATTTATAAAATATAAACCTATACCTATTATGACGTGCGTGCGTGCGTGAGTGTGTGTGTATGTGTGCGAATATGTAGTGTTTAGGTTTACGCTATTTAACTATTTAAGCAGTTACCTCCACGCTATACACATACATAGGTATAATAAATTACAATCGTCGAACAAAGAATTGACCGTTATTCCGGTGTGTCGTCCATCACGTACCACTACGTATAATATAGAATTATAGGTGTGTTCTGCAAGTGTTATAGGAACCTGTATAATATAATTAATTTGTATGAACTGGTGTGGGTACCTACGCCTGTAGTATAATACTCATAGTGTAAGTAATGCTATATAAAATATACAATAATATAGGTTTTAAGTTTTAACGAGGCCTATGTACCACTTTTTAAATGACTAAATGATTATATTATGACAATATTATGAATAATGTATATACTTATTATCTATAATACATAATGATTTTTCAATTAAAAACTATCCCACATAAAAATTGTGGCCGCTACATCATTATAATGTGCCCAATATATTTGTTGAAAAAAGAATTGTGGGTCATGGTATTTTCGAATACCCACCCTCATATCTGTATTCACTGGTAATATGCACCTACACACAAATAATGCGTTGATAATAATTGACAATACAGCTGATTTGAAACTTACCATATTAACGCTCCAGTTTGTAATAAGTAACAACTTACCTGGGTCTCCATCGATTCTTAGGTTTTGATTAGTAGATAGTATGTATACATTATTTTTTTTTGTGTTCTATCAATTAACAATTAAATACAAGTATTATAGATATATAAATGTCGCTGAGGGACTAGTATGAGAAACCTCACCATTTGTAAATCTTGACTAAGTTAAATGGCAGCAGCCTATATACTGCAGTGGGGTGCAGCCGTGTAGACATATACGTGATTAGGCCTTTAAGTCCTTCCCTGTTTGAAGTCCGGATAGCAAAATAAGGTTTGATAAAGGGACGGAATTACTCTCATACAGTTATAAACATTATATAATATTATTAAATATTTATTTTGTTGTATATAAATACTAATTATTATTGAACACATTAAACATTTTTAAAATTATACAGAAAAATAAAGTTGACAATAATACAATTTTATGTAGGTATAATATCTAATAAGGTAAATATGTACATTTCCCAAAATAATCTCAGCCATCTCCACTATACACAAATTATGGCTAAGTAGGTATATGTATATAAAAATATTATACTGTATCAACGCGGAGAAGGGGTTATAGGAGATGGAATCCCCCTCTAAGATATTTTATTGGGGATTGTGAAAACGGTCTAAGGTCAAATAAAATTGCACGCTTCGCCTGAACTAAAATGTTCGCATTACACTTAAAAAAACGTAAAACGAATAAAAACTATTATAATATTCAAATTATTGCATTATTCCGACCAATTTAACATTCTATTACATGAAATAGGTACCTAAGTAACTGATCAAGAAAAAAATGTGAATAGGTTTAAACGTTTAAATTGTTACTATGTAAGTAGGTACTAGGTACCTAGTACTCGTATTTAAATTTTAAATATGAATTTATTTTAAAAAATGAACACATTTTTATATTACTGTTAGTTAATTTTGAAAAAATACAGAATTATAGTACCTATTATTTTTAAATTCAAATTTAGTAAAATTTATTTTTATTTAAAAAAAAATCTACAATGCAATATAATTACCTTTTCTGTCCTTATAGTGCAATCCGACAAAAATAAGAACGATTCGATTTTCTCATTTCATCAAATATTCAACTTTCTCAGTTTATATTACTTCACGTTTACTATATGTATATGTAGATAATACCTAGGTTTAGATACCTATAATTTCTAACAATATCTACCTTAAACCTTTTATTTTATTTATAGTTAAATAAGTTTTAAAACCATGAGTATTTAATTTTTATAACTAGGTATTGATTATTATAAAAATGGTATATCTATTTCGTATCTGGACCATTTTTTATTTATTTATTTCTAGATCTGTCCGTCAGACAAAATACCAAAAGCGTAAAAACTATAAAGGCTGTAAACTTGCAGCTCTACCTATACCTATGCCTTATACTTTATAGAAATATGGAATGGCTATGATAAAAATATGTCATTATTAATGTCGTCCACGTAGATTAGAATATGACCGGCGCGGTATGTATTGTGTTCGTAACATAAAATATGTACCTTCTAAAAATAAAATGTGAAAAATATAATAATACGCGAATATTATACAATAGGTACACCAGCAGGCAGCAGCTGTCCTACATCGGATATGTGTGCTGTCATAATATAATGTGTGTACCTGTACAAGTGCCTACCACAACATAACGTTTCATAATATGTATTTTATGTCAGTGTACTTATATAGACAACCGTCCTACTTAATAATATTTCAAAGTTTTCGACACATAATGCGGTTCGAAATTCGTCCGGAGCTCCAAGTAATATTTAAAAATCAAAACAATGGCGCAGACGACGATCAAAAACCGTCTGTACGTTATACGACTATCAACATAGTGTTTGTATACCCATACAATAAATAGTTTAACATACTTATTATAACGAGCAATTTTAACTTAACAATACGTAGATACTCTCTAATGGTGCTATACACTACTTGGTAGATATATTATATGTATATATTTGGTCTTTGAAACGTTTAAATGTTAATTATTATTCGAGAGCAATATTTTATCAAGGTAAAGTAGAAATCGTTAAGCAACATATTATAATTATACAATTTTTAAGTAATACACTTATATATTAATACTTAACCGCGATGTAATGAAACGATGTTTTTTACCTCTCGGAGCTTGTCGAACGATTTACTCATCGTATAAACCACGAATAAGCACTAAAACAACTTTGTCGTTAAATTATATCCATTAGAATTTTCTTTATAATAATAATAATATTATTTTTATTATTATGTGCTGTAACATTATAAAAACTAACACCTACCTACTTCGACTTTCTCTCTGAACGCGTAGAGAATACAAACAAGAACAGCTGATTTTGTAATGACGTTTAACAGGTACTTTTCCTTGAATAAATATTGTTATTTCTCTCTCTAAACGTATTTAAGCATAATGGAATAATGAAATAAAAATACTATAATTGGTATATTGAAAGTTATGTACAAAGTACATGTTTATTCGTAATTTTTTTCTTCAATTTTTAATATCGTTATTAAGAACAGATTTGACAATAGAACATTTTTAAATAACAGTATAGTCCACGACTTTCTTTTACATCTCACAAGCAGATTTAAATAAACAATCATGTAATTATCAATTGAGAATTGTTTCAATCTGCTAGTCATACCAGGCTGATAATAAAAAAAAAAAAAACTTTAAAAATCAAACAATTTGTAGGCAAATATTATTGTTCAAATTAAAAATTATATTATACATAACATAATAAATAAATAACTAATCATAAAATGGAGACAAATTTGATGATTGATTATTTACATTGTTTTTAAAACAAAACAATTCTTAATTATCATGAGCAAAAATATGATTTTTAAATGGTATCAGTTATAATTATATATTATATATAATACTATACAATTCTAGACATATTTTGCTTTATATATTTCAGATTGAAAATGTAAAACTAACTAGGTACAAATAGAATAAAATACACAAAGATAAGTTGATACCATACATACTAATTACATAGACAAAAATCACAATATTAGTTTTTGAATAAATTTATTTATTTTTTCGCTAGTTAGGAAAGATTTTTTTTAAAAATATATTTATATTCCAGTAAAATGTGTTTGATGTTTCTGAGCAGGTTCAATTCTCAAAATTAAAAAATAATTTTACCAGTTGTATATTATTCTTCTATGATTATACACAGTTCATATAAAAATTGGTCAAAAAACATTTTATTACTTGGATAATAAATATACAATGCTGGTAAAAAGAGCAATAAGGGATACAATTTTAAGTCTTTTTAATTTATTTTTATTTTATAACGTTATCACCATAAAAGAAGCTCACAGTTTACAATTTAAAATACTACTAAATTATATTGTGAAGTTTGACGTAAGAATATTTCATTAATAGTATTTTACTAAAATTACTAAAACTATATTAGGTATGGCCTTAATTATTTATTATGTACATTACCTACCTACCACAAGTATTATATTATAATGTTTAATATAATATTTGTGTATAAATTAATACCTATATCACGAATTTAAAACAAAAATAATAAGTAATAATAAAATGATGTTAAAAATGATGGCACCAGATTTTTCTTCCTACATTAGGACTGCCAGTTTTTCATTTAACAGTCTACTTTTTTTAACAAAACCAAAATATTGTTGTATTGTATTTTTTGAATCATTAATTAATTAAAAAGTGGGATATTTAATGAGTCAACAATTCTTTTTGTTTAGTGTGTGAAATTAAATACAAATTAAACTTAATTCTCTAAGAGGAATGAAAATTTATTATACATAGGTACGTTACTTATAAAAACATACAAGATTGTTTTGTCCTTTCATAGAAAAAAAAAAAAATGTAATAAAAATAATATAGTAATAATAGATTGCAAATTTGATAGGTTTTGTGGATTGTCTCTTGGAAAAACAAACTTTTAGAATCAGTACACATATATCTGTTTGAGCTGGTCCCGCAGTTCTGCGGGTATTTTGTATGCGTCCTGTTGCTGTTGCTTTTTATGCACCAGTCTTCGCCACTTGCCTCGCAAGTTTTTCCGTAGTCCCTTACGGTGCTCTGCAGTTTCTTCGATGGGTACACTGCACACCAATGTGTCCTGAAATCCATTTAAAATTCAATCAAATACATGGAAACAAAAGGATTACAAGTGACTAAAATATGCGGAGGAGATTTGAAATATTATAGTTGCATTTTACAAACAGTGAAACATACTGAAATAATTTTCAAGGCAATATTGTGGGTTATCACAATATTATTAATGTTATCCATTATGTTCTTACAAAACCAGTAGTATGTACCAAACTATGTTTAACCTTCTATGGTGTGTAGACACTATCCTTGTCTTGATAATACATTTCTCCCACTTAAATGCAGATAAGATGAATAATTTTTAATGATCTCACGTTTTCAATGAGCTCATTAATTATGATAATAGGTTAGATACTCATTGAAAATAAATTAAAAATTTAAAAATGCACTTTGTATGAAATTAATTATTATTCAGTACCTACAGACTTTATCCCAACTTTATCGTTCGAATCAAAACCGTCTACGTATGTATTAAATAACAGTGGCATATTTAAGTTTTTGTCATGGGGGGGATATGACTTTATAAATTAAGATACCAATGAGAATATTGTACAACATATTATAATATTTTAATTCTTGCAAATTTAATCAATTATTGATAAAAAGAAAAAAAAAATAATAATAATTTTTTAAATAATATGATGATATGATGACTATAATTATTTGTGTGTATACAGCCTATTGGGGGATTTATCCCCTTAATCCCTCCCCCCTCCGTAAATACACCACTGATAAGTAATAAACTAATAACCAATAACTCAAATCGAACAAATAGTAGAAGTGTTAAAATTACCTGATCAGAGCTGTACAGCCTGTATGGTGAGTTATACCCATTGGTGTTTTTGGCTGCAGCATTTTTGGCAGAATACTGCCAGAGGAACGGTAAAGGTACAGGCGCATCGACCACATCACCTGATACGTTTGTGACAACGGCGACGTCGACGGGCTGGGCATGGGGTAACTGACAGTCCACATTGTTGTTGTTATTGTTGTTAATCGCAGTGTTGGCGGTGGCAACGGCTGTGGCCGCTGCGGTGGCTGCTGCAGCTACGGCGGTTTCCTCGCGCTTCCTAAGCTTGCTGCGAACCAAACGGACGGTTAGAAATTTAGAACCGTTGCTACCCACCATTTTCAAGCTGTCCCTAAGCGTGCCTATGCAATTGAAACGCGCTTTGGTCTGTTCAATGGTGCCGGTGGCCGGGGCTTTCGGGTAAGCCACCACGCCGCCGAATGTGACGGTTTTGGCAGAGCACATAGCGTCACCGTTCGGGAGAGCAACGGAAATAACGACGATATGTGCCGATATTGGCGTCACTTGTGTAGAGAGAAAACGTTTCCGTGTGTTTAAAAACAGTACGAAACACAATCGCACACGCACAGTAACACACGTACACACACTTAAATATAATATGCGGATTTAATATAATCGTATATGATATACAATAGGCTATTTTAAAATAATATTACATTAACGACTAGTTTCACTATCACAGCCTCGTATGTTTCGACGAATATTATATAATATTATACCGGACGTCCGACGGTGCGGTTCTTTGAAAAGAGGAAAAAGTTTTGTTTTTCAACACGATATCATAACCGACCGCCGAAGTGGAGTAAACGTCGGTCGAAGAGAACAAATTAAAATTAAAAATAATATATTATAATAAATACACACGCGCGCGCGTCACGTCTCGGGTTAGGTGGTAGACGACGACGAGTCGGTGGTTGCGGCCACGTCGGAAAAAAAAGACGTAGGGTTGTCGAACGGAGTTATTAACTGAACGGCTGGTGAGTGGGCCTGATCATTTTCCGGGAGCGTGTCCAAAGCGGTGGCCTTTGCAAGTGGTGATGGTGGTGGTCGCCTGCCGTGGACGACAACGACGACGGTACTTTGCGACAACCGACGCACATTCGAAACGTTTATGCGTGTGCACGACAGAAACAATAACGCAGCGTCGCGACGGACTGGACACGGGACTGTTGACCGCGCGAGTAGCAGAGTAAGAGTGCGCCGAGTGGAACAGGCACGGACAGACTGCTCACACACACTGCAGTCACGCGCAAAGTGCAACGACACTGCGACCGGCTACGAGCGAGCTGTGGCGCGGGCGACTCCGCATGAGCGACTGGCCGCAGACGTTAGACACCGTAGTGCCGTGCGAGCGAGACGGTAAATGCGATATGGTGCGGTACGACGGCGAACCGACGCCGTGTTGTGGCCGACGACCGGTGGGAGCGCCGCCGCCTGTGCCAACACTCCACCGCTACCGTCCGCGCCGAACACCGACGAGCAGCCGCCACGTTGCCACGTCGCCCGTCCTCAACGGTGGTGTTTCCGCGCCGGCGGGGTGGCTAGACGGGACTTGAACGACGACGCGTCGGGTACCTACTCGTTGTAACAATATTATATTATATTATATCCTTTGTATATAGAGATTATATTACAAAATATTGCGTGTGTGTGTGTGTATTATGGATGCGTACTGTGGATGGATCCTACCTCCGTACGGACTATTGACAATCAACCCTATTGCCTTTACACTGTATATTTTGCGCGAGTGGTATATTCACTACCACTACCATTACTATATACCACCACTATCACGTCGGTTACATTTTGTTATTAGGAGGCGTATTGAATATTAGACTTTGAATTTTGGGTGCGCTAAGATTATATACAAATTATTTCATTCGCGGTATATACCTATATTTTATAGGTAATAACAATAATAATCAATTACTCGAATAAAAGATTAATAATAATTAATAAGCAACTGTATAATATATATATGCAATATTCTCCTGTATTCTGCAGTTGCATATCTATTAATAATACTTTCAGTGTTTAATTGATATGTTTTATCTTTTTCAATATTTTTCAATAGTGATAAGTTTGAATATCATTCTTATGTTACGATAGTTTGTAATTATTTTTTAATTCGTTGCATTAATGCATTATAGAAATTAACATAGTATTATAAGTATAATATTTTTATAGCTTATAATATAATTAATCAGGTTATTTGGGGGTGCTAAGAGCCTACTAGCGTTTTATGCGTTTTCATTTTGTTCATCAGTATAGTACATTAAAATATAGTATATTGTATACTCCAGAAGTGGTATAAAAAATACCCCCCCCCCCCATAATCTTTCCCTTTCGGGTTGTCAATTGTCAAAGAGACGTTATATATGAGTTTAGAGGGAAGATTATATTAAAAATGGATACATTATTCTGTTGAAAAATACCTTAAACACCGCAATAAAATTTATTTATTGTACATACTTATATTATATCAAAAATGTTAAATCATAGAACATGAAAACGACAACTAAACTTATCACACGTGAGTTTTAAATCTCATTTTATAAAAATTAAAAAAAGTTTTTACATATAATGTAAATTCACCAACCAGTTGTTTGACTGTTGTTATTTTACCTAATGCTTAATATACGTGTTTTATAGTATTATACTTGTATAGTGCACTGAATACCGACGTATATCAGCTGTTGTATATTCCGTCTTCTGTCTGCACGAATATGATATACATTATTATCAATTTTATTACGTTTTCGGCGTTTGTTTTCTCTCATATAGGCACGGGTACCCCTCGCATATGCATACATACCGCCGTGCGGCGTGCGTGCGTCAAATGTCTAAACAAACCTCTGCGCGGCTTAAAATATACCTGTGCGCCGGTTACTATTCGGATTCGTTGTTGAAACGTATAAAATATTTGATAATCCGGAAACGTATTTCGGGGTTCCCCTCGTCATGTTAAAGCAGGTAGGTATACAGGTATATTTTAAATAATTGTAATTCGTGAATCGGCCATCCCTACCCCACCAGCTGTAATTATATATAATACGCATTGACGTAACGAAATACAAATATGTGAAACAAAACTACAATACTACATTACTACATAATATTATATACTACGTTTATTCGTGTATAATAATTATAATTTGTATACGCAGTATCAAAGTTTTTAAATATTTAATTTTTAAGTGTAGATGGATAAACGTTTAATTGAATTTGTAATAGATATATTACAACAATGCTACTATATTATTATAATAATAAATACATTTTAGGTCCTTTTTTCAATATGTTTATTACAAATCATTCGATGGAAATATTATTTCTAATTTCTATACATAATAGAATATGTTTTAATAGTTCTATAATCTATAATATAAAGTTTTTAAAAGATAGATTTTATGCATTTTTATTTTGTTTTAAATTAATAATTATTATATACATAGAGAGAAATAAAAAATTATTGGTTGCAAAAATTCAAGTCAATTTTTATTTTTCTCAAGCTGTCGTTTTAAAATTTAATAATCGACACACACTTTAAAATTTAAAACCAGTTTGAGAATCCATTATTTTACTAGGTCGAAGCATTTCTTATGTATTATATTCAACTTGTTTTCAAATGAATGGTTTTCATTTACTTTCATAAAAGTAAACAATATTTTATTTTTACAAACTTTATTAATTTATGAGGTTTCTCAGGAATCGTTTCTGGTGATTATGCCACTTAATATGATGTGTATTATAAAAATTAATTAAAAAAAAAAGATAATTCATTTCGTTGAGTATATTATACAATATAATAATAATCTATAACTTAAGATATTTTAAATATCAATACAAAAGTAATTGAACATGATTTAAATATTGAAATGACTTTAGTCATAATCGCTTAAGCAGTCTTAATGATAACACAATGAATGAAATAATATATGAATTATCAATTGCTTTCAGATTAAAGGAAATCCAGTCATACTATACTCATTTAGATATATAGTCATCATATTACTATTGCAATACTATATAGTCTAAATATGAGTACCCAAAAGCTTATTTAATAAATGGTTACGCCAATGACATTGTTTACCCTCAGTATATAATATATATATATATATATATATATATGAACAATGATAAAAACATAATCAAATATGAAATATGATACGCGTTGCACAATATGCTCATATTAAATTATGAATAGATCGAACTATGTATCTTAATTCTTAATATAGGTAGGTATGGTATAATCGTCAAAAGTGGGCCGAATTGATAGTATAAATACATATTAAATTATATGTATTAAAAACGATATTATATTTAAAATTAGCAAATTGTTGCGCTATGGAAGTGGTTTAAAAAACGGTATCAATTAAAATTAATAATTATAGTAGATATTCGCTGATGTGTAGCATAGTATTGGTATAGAAATTAATTGAAGTCATTAAAACAGCTGCAGCTGGCAAAAACGTTACAGATAATAATTGTATACATCAATACATGAATGGCATATTATACTATTATAGGCGGATGGTGGATATTATAGCTGCACAACATATTAAGCTACAGTTTTTATGGTTAAAGTTAACGGTGAAAAGAACACCATTTGTTTGCGTTTGGTGATAATTACAACTTTAAATATTTTATACATGGCATAACGCGCGTCTGCTTGACAACATTAACAATCGCGTTACAGCATTAGTCATAATAACTATATAATAAACAGTAAACACATTATATATTGTAAACTTGTAACAGTAGGTATAATAAATATATATATATATATAATAGTCACCTTAAGTGTTTGTTGTAGGTATGAGTATGCCACAAGTGCAGCATTGGATTATTGCGCGTAATGTTCAAAACAAATTGCGTTTTGCATTTGTGGGTCGTATAATATTATACGCATAGTATTAATATAATATATTATTATTATTATTGTAATGTGACGAAGTATGCAACAACGCAACATACATACCTGTGCGGCTGTGCTATATTATACACATGTTGTGATTTACCTATGGCTGAGCAAGTATTTGTTATTGATTGTTGATCGAGGTAATCTATTCTTGAGGTATATACCGTATATACCTATGATATACTATTATAACGTGTATTTTCCTTTATTTTTCTCTCGATTAGTGAAACTAGATATCTCAACGAGCTTAATAATATGCTACGATACTACATTATGATTTGTCAAGCACGTTTACCCCCTCCCGCTTTTCATTTTTCAATAGATATAATAAATCAACCCCTAGGTAA